CCTGAGGGGTCGTGGAGGCTGGGAGGCTAGGTGCAGTGGAATGGATGCTGTGAGGCGGGTGGGAGGAGGGAAAGGGGTTAAGGGAGGAGGAAGGAGCAGGGAGCAGGGAGGGAGGAGGAAGCAGGAAAGATTGAATGAGAGGGAGGGGGAAGGAGAAGGGAGCAGGGAGGAAGGAGAAAGCAGGAAAGATTGAATGAGAAAAGAGGTGGGACGGGAGGAGGAGGAGGAGGAGGAGGAGGAGGAGGAAAGGAGGGAGGCGAAAATGGGAGGCAGGAAGGAGATGGGAGGAGGGAGGAGGAAAGCGGGAGGATTGAGGGAGGAGTCAAGGAAGAAAGAGGGGAGGAGGGAGGAAGGAGGAGAGAGGGGAGAGGGAACGGGGAGGAGGTAGGGGCGAGGAAAATTCAAGGAGCACGACATGGGGAAGGAGGAGGAAGGAAGAGGAAGGAAGGGGGAGGAGAGAAGGAGGAAGAAAGGAAGAAGAAAGGAGGAGACATGGGAAAGGAGGAGAAAGAAGGAGGAAGGAAGGAGGAGAAAATCAGGAGGAGAACGAACAGAAGGAGAATGGTGGGAGGCAGAGGGGAAAGGATGGGACGAGGGATTGGGGAGACGGAAAGAGGGAGAAGGGGAGAGGCAGAAGCGAGCTGAGCTGCAAAGCCAGAAGCTTTTGGAAAATACTACAATGAAACAATGACCGGCACTCGCACGGCCAACCGCTACTCACAGGGCAACCGCCGGCAACCGCCAGCAGGACAAAAAGAGGAAAATCAATTATTAACAAAAACGAATCCGCCGGCCCCACTCGCGGGACACCAGAGCAGCGGAGGAACGAAGGTCTTCACAACTTCGCAGCCTGGCACCGCAGCAGCAGATCTGGCAAGAAGCGGCTGGCAGCCACGATGCCTGCTGAACCGATTTACCCATCGATGGATCAGCGCGCGACTCTCTTGGGCCCCAAACGGCTGTTGCACTCCCCCGACCCGGGTCCTCTCAGACTCTGGGTGGCCAAGGACGTGCAGAAACACAAGGATTCCTCACTCGCAGAAGGCCGCCACCGCGCCACGGGCACCGAGTGAGGCATCCTCGGGCCCTCACTCGTCGTCCTTACTCACCCTCGCCAGGGCCCGCAGACCCGAGTGTTGCCAGGAGTCCCGGGCGTTCCTGAGGGTTCCCCGCGGGGGGGGGTGCTCCGCGTGCTTTCCCGAGGCCTCGGAGGCGCAGCTCCGAACGCAGTCCCCCAGCTCTCCCTGAGACGGTCCCAGAGGGACGCCCCCAACCCCCATGTGTTCCTCTTCCTCTCTCTTTTCTGACCTGTACCTCCCTCGCCCCCTCTCTTGGTGGGTTGCGCACCTCCTCCTCCTCCTCCTCCTCCTCCTCCTCCTCCTCCTCCTCCTCCTCTTCCTCCTCCTCCTCCGCCTCCTCTTCCTCCTCCTCCTTCTCCTCCTCCTCCTCCTCATCCTCATCCTCATCCTCCTCCTCCTCATCTGCTTTCTCTTCCTTCCTTCCACAGGCGTTCCCACGAGGCGGTTCCACAACGGCTGGGGGGAACAAATAGTCAAATAGCTTGGCCAAGCGTTGACCCAACGTGTGGCCAAATCGGCAGTTCCAAATGAGCAGGGGGCGGCGGTGATCATGGACCCGCGCTCCCAGGACCACGACCTTGTGAAACCTGGCTCGGGCACAACGGAAATCGCTGCTGCAGGAGCACATCGGTGTAAGTTCTGAGCTACTCGTTGCTGTTGCGGCTCCCTGCTGCTGATGGTACTGCTGATGCTTACTGGCGGCTCTTTTCCGCTCGTGGTTGCTGATGCTTGCCACTGCCTGCCGCTTACTGCCGCCGACTGCTGTTGCTGACACTTGCTGCTGGCTCCCTGTGCTCACTTGCGCTGGCCCTGCCGATACTTCTGCTGTCTGCGGAGGGGCTCGGGGCACTCTCGAGTGCTCTTGGCGCCTCCTCGGCCGCCATGCGGCATCCTTACGGCCTCGTGGAGCCGATCGTCGTTGTGGGCCTCCAGAGGTCCTCCTCCCCGATGGGCGCCAGAGGCCCAGCTGTTTCCACAGCGGTTGAGGAAGACATAGCCCAGCAGCTCGATCAAATTGCGTTTGAAGGAGAAGGACATGCTAATATTGTGCGCCCCCCTTGGATGCACACGTCCGAACCGAACACATAACACACACACACACACACACACACACACACACACACACACACACACATAACACAGCATCTCGTGACCCCAGCGGTATGGCCAAAAAGCGCCTGCCGTCGAGCAGGTAGCTTGTTCTAGCGCGCGCGTCGCCCCTGGGGGGGCCCCCGCACAGCACAGTGTAAGCATGTTTGAGCGATGTCTAGAAGACACAGCCCAGCTTTGGGGGGCGGAAAGATACGGATACGTGTTGTCCCCGGACCTCTCTTGGGGTGCGTTCTGACCAGAATTTCGAGGCGAATCCAGCGGTGACAACGAGGATTCCCCAGGAGGGCCAGGAAAGGCCGAAAACGAAGGGGGACAACACGTATCCGTATCTTTTTCTCCCCCGAACAGCCCAGCAGCTCGATCAAGTTGTGGCCCGGCGTTTGACGGTACGAGCACGTCCAGAAAGGCGCGGGGCGGCGGCGACCCGCCAGATGCGGCTCTGCCCCACGGGCCCCAGCAGTTCACCAGAGGGTGGTTTGGCGTGTTTGGTTGTTCGCTCATGCTCTCGTCGGCGGCGGGCGCGGGGGGGAAATGAGAAGGGGCGGGACTTCCGAGGCTTCTGAGAAGTTTCCGGACTTCTGAGAGGGCTTCTGAGAAGTTCAGTCTGAATTCGAAATAGGCTAAGGAGACCTCTCAGAAGTCCCCCGGACTTCTAAGAAGTCCCGCGGCCTTCTGATAAGGCCTGCTCCTTCTCATTTCCCCCTGGGCCCGCCGCCGATCTCGCCGTCAGAATAAAAAAAACCCTGATGGATCCGTAAGTCTAGCTATCCAGATCCTCTCCGCAGGCCATTCGACTCCTGCAGCCGGACGCCCCCCGTCACTGCCCTGTGCATCCCATGCTCGGCCCCATTTCATCATACACCATGGCAGCCAGCACCGTGCATACTCTGAGAACGACTCTGGGCCCGATAAGCGTAGCCCGAAGCGAAGTGCTTCTCGGACGAACGACGATTGCCGCGCGGCCGTGCACACTATCGGTTTGGTCCTGTGCCGAACCCTTTTCCGTGACGGCGCCACGAGATGCTAGCGGGCGCAAGAATCACGTCATGGCCCCATAGGCTGGCATCCCCCAAGTCTCGGCTCAAACAGCATACAATACGCGTTCAAGCCGCCCAGAGCGATCCAAGATGGCGCCAGGACGACGCCCAGGCGGCCACGGAGAGCCCAAGAGGCCTCCAGAGGCGCCCAAGATGGTGGCCAAGAGGGCCCAAGAGAGTTCCAAGAGGCCGCCAAGACTGCCTCATAGAGGCCGCAGAGGCAGCCCAGAGGCCCGAAGATGCCCTGGGAGGACAACTAACAAACCCGAAAACCAACTAGCCTGGCAAAAAAACTCAACCACCTACAACTATGAGTACCGCGTTGTGGGTACCGCTTTCGGTGGAGCTTCCTACAAGGGCCGCGAAACGCGTGACGCGTATGCCGCAATCGCTGGGGGAGACGCACGCGCCCGCGGCCACGGGGGCCTTCGCTGGAGCTCTCGATGGGGCCATGAAACGCAATGAAACGTTGTTTTCGGCGGGGGGGGGGCATGCGACCGCGGCCACTGGAGCGTTCGGTGGAGCTCCCTATGGGGCTACGAAGCGCTGCACTGGGTGGGGGAGACGCATGCGGCCGCGGCCACTGGGGCCTTCGCTGGAGCTCCATGTGACGGCACGAAACGCCGTACTGGGAAGGGGAGACGCATGCGGCCGCGGTCAGTTGGGCCTTCGGTGGATCCCCGTATGGGGCCACTTCACGCTGTACTGCGGGGGACGCATGCAAACGTGGCCACTGGGGCATCAGGTGGAGCCCCTTACGGGGCCACGTAACGCTGTACTGGGCGAGGGGGGGGGGGCGCAAGCGAACACCGCCAGTGGGACATTCGGTGGAGCTCACTATGGGGCTGCGAAACGCTGTGTTGGGCATGAGCTCCTATGGGGCTTGAAAAGCGCGGCAGGAGCAAGCGAAATGAGCCCGCGACTGCATGCGGACATGTTTCATGTTGGCCTTCTGTAGAGCTCCGATGAAGCCTAAAAAGCGCGATAGGGGCGAGCGACATGAGCCTTTGACTGCATGCTGGCTTGTTCACTTCGGCCTTATGTGGACCTCCTGTGGGGCTTGAAAACCGTGGCGGCAGGGAGGATCAATCTGAGCCCGCGACTACATGCGGATTTGTTAATCTTGGCACTCCTATGAGCTTTTGAAAAGCGTGGCAGGGATGTGCCAGGTCAGAGGCAGGAGGGAGTGGGGGGAGGAAGAGAGGACGCGGGGCGCTGCTGAATCAAAACGAGGACCCAACACCACAGGATGGCTGGGAAATCATCAGTTCTTGCTCTACGATGTCTGCTCTGCCCTGCAAGACGCCCCAAAAGGGACCATAGAGGACCGAAGAGGGCCCCTGTGACGACCCAAGTGGGCTCTACGGCGAGGTGACACCAAAGTGGCCCAAGAGGGGCCTAAGAGGCCCCCAAAGGCCAAGAGGGGTCGAAGAGGCCGCCAGGATAGCTGAAGGGCCCCCGAGACAGCCTGGGCTGCCTCCCAGAAGTCCCAAAGCGCCCCCAAGATGGCCCACGAGGCCCCCAACTCAGCTCCAAGGAATGCTAAAGTGCCTTGGTGAAACCCCGGGCTCCCTGATTATGCCGAAGAGGCCCAAGAATGAAGAAAACTGTGCTCCAGCGATCCCCAGCTGAGAGCATATAGTCAGCAGCGTGGCCGAGCCCCACATTCAGCCACGTATAGGCGTTGCCGCAAATGCAGGAGGCGACGGTGATTCGCCGAAAGCATATCAAATAAAAGTTATGGAAAAGTCTGCAAAAGCAAAATGCCAAATCAAGACCTACTCAAGTCCACGATGTAATGGCCAATGCTGCGCATATTCGGGTGGTCGAACATGAGCGTGGCCGGCAGATTGACTGCCAACTGACAGTGCCGCTACGGATGTTATGGGAGATCGTGAGCAATGAGGCTGGGAGAGCACCGTTCAGGGCAATAAGTAAGACGATCCAAAATAGACGGCTGGAAATGGACGACTGTGGGAATGGACGGTACGATGAAAACGGGAGGCTCACAGGCATCAACAAAGAGCAGGACAAAGAAAACAAGCACTGAACCAATACGCAAAGCTAAACACTACGGAATGGAATCCTGAAAATCCCCACGCAACTCCAGTTTCGCTGGCGCCATCAGCTAATCACCTCTTAGATGATTGTCTTGAAAACTGTCCCGCCACCGGCTTGGTAACAAAAGAGCACCACATCCAGCACAGTGGGGCACGCTGGAAGTACGAGCTGCACGATACGGCATATTTCGAGTTATGTGAGCTCAAATTCGCAGCTGCCGACGCAAAAAGACAACGACTTAAGCTGCCTGCCCACAAAAGAACTGGAGTACGCCCTTCTTGCTATGAACTGTGAAATGCTACCGCAGCGACACTGCATCGTAAAAACGACTCGACACATAAACGCGGAGGTCCTCGCCGTTTAAGATCATCCTGTATTGCACCGCCATTGCGCTCGTGAAGCCACTCTCCATGAAGGGCGTGTCCAAATGCAGATCCTTCTTGCAACATGCAACACGCAGAACGGGGTGGGCCACATCCGAGAGCGTAAGCGGGCACGCGTGTGCGCATGCCTGTGCGCACGCATGCATGTAAATGTTTTCGTCTGCGTTCTCACGCGTACGTATATGAATGTGCACATGCATACCGACAGGCACATATTCGTTCAGGCACGAACGCTCCTGTGACGAAACACCGACACGTACGCAGGAATGTCATTGTTGCGACTGCTGCTGCTGCTGCGGTTGCTGCTTATACTACTTCTACTACGACTACTACTACTACTACTACTACTACTACTACTACTACTACTACTACAACTACTACGACGACGACGACGACGACGACGATGACGACTACGACGACTACTACGACTACAATTACTATTACTACTACTACTACTACTACTACTACTACTACTACTACTACTACTACTACTACTACTACTACTACTACTACTACGACTACTAGTACGACTACTACTACTACTACTACTACTACTACTACTACTACTACTACTACTACTACTGCTGCTGCTGCTAATAAAGCGACTACCACTACTACTACTAATGCTACGACGACACTACTACTACTACTACGACTACTACTACTACTACTACTACTACTACTACTACTACTACTACTACTACTACTACTACTACTACTACTACTACTATTACTACTATCACAAAATTCGGCTACACCGACTGCCAGTTACGACGACGACGACGACTACTACTGCGACGACGACCACTACCACTACTACTACTCCTACGACGACGGCTACTACTACTACTACTACTACTACTACTACTACTACCACTAAGACTACTACTACTACTACTACTACTACTACTACTACTACTACTACTACTACTTCTACTACTAATACTATTACTACTACTACCACTACTACTACTACTACTACTACTACGACGACGACGACTACTACCACTACTTCTACTACTGCTACCACCACTACTACTACTACTACGACTATTACTGCTCCTACCACTCCTACTACTACTACTACTACTACTACTACTACTACTACTACTACTACGACTACTACTACTACGACGACGACGACGACGACGACGACGACGACGACGACGACGACGACTACTACTACTACTACTACTACAAGTAATAATGATTAAACTGCTGCTGGTACGGTGACAGAACCCCGCGTCCTTCTCCCTCCTTTTCCTCCCCGTCCTCCTCCTCGTCCCCCTGTTCCCTCCTCCCGTACTACTACTACTACTACTACTACTACTACTACTACTACGACTACTACTACTACTACTACTGATACTACGACGACGACGACGACGACGACGACGACGACGACGACGACTACTACTACTACTACTACTACAAGTAATAATGATTAAACTGCTGCTGGTACGGTGACAGAACCCCGCGTCCTTCTCCCTCCTTTTCCTCCCCGTCCTCCTCCTCGTCCCCCTGTTCCCTCCTCCCGTGCGTGTTTCTGCTCTCCGCATGCCAACCAGTTCGGCACACCCCGCACACGCCTCGTGACCCCGACGGAGTTCCACGAAAGGCCCCAATGGCGACGTTCGCATGCTCGCCTCATCCAACACAGCGTCTCGTAGCTCCATAGCTCCGCCGAAGGCCCCCGGAACGACACTCTCATGCGCCCGCCTCATCCAATACAGCGCTTCGTGGCCCCATACAGGGCTCCACCGAAGGACCCAATGGCGACGTTCGCATGCGCCCGCCCCATCCAGTACAGTGTTTCATGGCCCATACAAAGCCCCACCGAAGGCCCCAACAGCGACGTTCGCATGTGTCCGCCCCACACAATAATTACATGGCACCGTGGCCCCATAGGGAACGCCACCGAAGGCCCCAACGGCAACGTTCGCATGCGTCCGCCCCACCCAATACAGCGCTCCGTGGCCCCATACAAAGCTCCACCGAAGGCCCTCGTAGCGACGTTCGCACGCGTCCGCCTCATCCAATACACCGTTTCATGGCCCCATACAGGGCTCCACATAAGGCCCCAACGGCGACGTTCGCATGCGTTCGCCCCACCCAGTACAACGGTTTGTGGCCCCACAAGGGGCTCCACCGAAGGCCCCAGCGGCGACATTCGCATGCGCCCGCCCCACCCAGTACAGCGCTTCGTGGCCCCATACAGGGATCCACCGAACGCCCCCGTAGCGACGTTCGCATGCGTCCGCCCCATCCAATACAGTGTTTCATGGCCCATACAAGCTCCGCCGAAATCCCCAGTGGCGGCGTGCGCATGCGTCCGCTCCACCCAGTACAGGGCTTCGTGGCCCCATAGGGAACTCCACCGAAGGCCACCGTGGCGACGTTATCATGCGTCCGCTCCACCCCCGCCCATTTCGGCAGACGCCCCACTCCTCACACGTTCCGTGGCATCATATGGAGATCCACCGAGGGCCCCAGCGGCGGCTTTCGCATGCGCCCCCCCCCCCCCTTCCAGCCATTTCGGCACATCCATCACGCGCTTCGCAGCTCTATACCGAGGAGCTCCACCGAAGGCCCCAGTGGCGACGTTCGCATTCGCGCACCCCCCCCTCGCACTTTTCGACACACCCCTCACACGCTTCGTGGCCCCATAGGGAGCCCCACAGAAAGCCCCAGTGGCGACGTTCTCATGGCGGCCCTGCCCCATTTCGGCACGCCCCTGGGACGCTTCGTGGCCCCAAAGAGGGGGTGGGTCTATCTAAGGCCCCGCCCCATGCCGGCATGGCCTTTTATACTCACTGTTGCCCCATAAGGAGATCCACCGAAGGCGATACCCACAACGGCGATATTCACAACTGAATATGGTTGGGTCCCTCGTTGTTGTTCGCTTTGTAATGTCACAGCGTCATAGGTTGCAACATCCAAGAAAACTGTGACTGAAATTCATAGCCAAACAAAGCAAATGGGGAACCAATAACCCAAGTGATATACTGTTGTTGTCAAGAGTCGATGTCGATGTCCTTTCGGCTTCAATTGTGTATGGATCGGCCTGCTCCCAACTGGATTTGTTGTTCATGGTTATACGTGAGTTTCAACTTGTGTTGATGGTTTAGTGTTTCCTTTGCACGGATTTCTTGCTGTGTCTCATTATATGCACGTGTGCGGCCCTGTTACTGATGTCAAGTGGATTGAATTCATGCTGTTTTCAACTTTATGGATTTCTTAGTGGCGTCCACTGCACTGCTAGGCTATTGCGTGCAACCCTGTGAAAATAACAATGCTAGCTTTGCATTTCGTGGTTCCCCTATTGATTTTAAGTGGGTAGGTCTCGCATGGTTTCAAGTGCATGGAATCCTTTCTGTGTTACACTACAATGGTTTCATAAGTGCTGGCAGTTGCCGTCCACTGCGTGTACCAAAGTAGATCAAAACATCTCTCTCTCTCTCTTTCGCTTTCTCTCTCGTTCTCTCTCTCTCTCTCTCTCTCTCCCCGCCCTCTATCTCAATATCTCTCCCCCCCTCTCTCTTTCTCTGTCTCTCTCTCGTTCCCTCTGTGAGTCTCTCCGTCTATCTCTCGCTCTCTCTCTCTCTCTCTCTTTCTCTTTCTCTCTCTCTCTCTCTCTCTCTCTCTCTCTCTCTTTCTCTCTAGGGAAATAAGGAAAGACGAGCGGCAGGGAGCAAAAAGAGGTATGGATTAGGAGAGAGGCGGGGAGGAGGAGGGAGAAAGAAGGGAGGGCAAGGGAAGAGGTCGGAATAGGAGCGAGGGAGGCCTTAAAAACCAAAACCTTTAGAGACTAGATGTGAGACGCAATGCTATATCAGATGATGTATTGGGATGATGGTTGAATTCGTCGGTGGTGGTGTATGTTGATGCTTGGTGGGGCAGTGTCTGATTGACCCCTTTGGGGATAGAGGGAGGGAGCGAGGGAGGGAGAAAGGGAGAGAGAGAGAGATAAAGAGAGGGAGAGACGAGGGTGGAGGAGACCGACCTTTCCGTACTGTTTTTTTTGGTTCTAGAGAAGAAGGGGGGGAGAGAGAGAGAGAGAGAGAGAGAGAGTGTGTGTGTGTATTGCCTACGGCAGGGAAGAAGAGGAAGGTGTGGGAAGGGCGACTGAGGTTTAGGATGGGGTCCGTTTGAGGTGGTGCAAGAAGGATAAAAGAAGCACGCTCTCTCGCACTCTCTCTCTCTCTCTCTCGCTCTTTCTCTCTCTCTCTCTCATTCTCGCTCGTTGTCCCTCTCTGGGTCTCTCCGTCCCTCCCTCGCACGCTCTCTCTCTCTCTCTCTCTCTCGCTCTGCCTCTCGTTCACTTTCTCGGTATCTCTCTCTCTCTCTCTCTCGCTCTCTCTCTCTCTCTCTCTCTCGCTCGTGGGGTCCCCAGGGGGCTAGCCTATACATACAACTATACACGTATACCTAGACGTGCATATACCTGTGTAATTATATGCACACAAACATACACCATACACCGACATACCTGCATACATACATACACACATACTTATGTACATACACGCATGCATGCATGCATGCATGCATGCACACATACATACATACATGCACGAATGCATACATGCATGCATGCATGCATACATACATATATGGATACAAAAAGTCATATATGCGTACCTACATACGTGCACACATACAGACAAACCTGCATACAAACAAACAAACATACAAACAAAGAACCATGCATACATGCATACAGACACACTTACCTACCTACATACAAACACACACATAAACATACATACGTACAAGCATACGTGCATACATACATACATACATGCATACAGTAATACATACACACATACATACAGACATACCCACAGACATGCATGCATACACACACATACACACAGACACGCATACACGCGCATGCATGTATGCATGCACGGATGCATACATGCATGCATGCATGCATGCACGCATACAGACATGCACACACGCATACAGACATGCATGCATGCATGCATGCATACATACATGCAAACATACATGCGTACATACGTACACACCCTTGCATACATACATACATACATACATACATACATGCATACATACATACATGCACGCATGCAAGCATACATGCATACATGCATATATACATACATCCGTACTTACTTACCTGTTTGCATACATGCATAAATGTAGACGTTAACCGATGAATATGGGCACACAAGCGTACACAGTCACACATACATACATACATACAGACAGGCATAAAGACATGTATATATATATATATATACGCATAAAGTCAGATTGGCATGCATACCTATACATATATACATTGTACATATCGTGATGTACATATGTGCGTTGTATATGACACATATATAGGTGTGTGCGCGCTGTATGTATGTTATGATATGTGTTAGGCGTGATATGTGTCATGAATACGACACTGCGTTGGCTCTCCGCGCCGTGCGCATAGGTCCTGAAAGTCTGGCATGATGGCGGAAGAACACGAAAGAAAACCGAGAATCAAATAGCGATAGATCCGTGTTGCCGTTTCCGGCATCGTCGCTAGAATGATGTGTTTCAGTATGTGTCCCTCGCGTTTCCTCTGCCACTTCCTCATTATCACCCTACCCTGCGAATTCTTCCCTAGCCTCCTCAGCTCCTGTTGTCGAGGTTTCGCCTTGGAGAGCCTCTTGGGGGCCTCACGAAAGTTCTTGATGGCTTCTTGGGGCCTTCTGGAGGCCTCCTCGGCGCCTTCTAGGGGCCTCTGGGGGCTTCCTCGGGCCATCCTGCTTCCCATCGCGGCCCTGAGCGACAGCGTCACCATTTGGAACGCTTCGGGGGGTGCCTGTGGGCCGTCATGTGGCCCTCTTCGGGCCATGTTGGGGCCCTGCTGGGCCATCTTGGGGCTCTCTTGGACTGCCCAGAATCCCTTTCAGGTTGTTTGGGTACGATGTTCGGGCCTCGTGGGCGTCTCGGACGCCTTGAAGACCGAAGAACAGAGCATCAAAAAAAGCGTTTAAAAAGCCGATGGGAAATCGATCTTCGTCTTGCGTTTGAAAGGCCTCTTGGGGGTCTTCTGTGGGTCGTCTTCGGGCGTCTGGTGGGTGTCCGGGACCTCTTGGGGCCCTCTAGGTCCCGTTCAGCCGCCCTCCTGACCGATTTCAATCATTTGGGCCCGCTGCCTAGGCCCAGCAGGGTCTTCCAGGAGTTACGATAAGCTCAGGTACCCTCTGCATAGGGCCTCCAGGGGGCCCCCGAAGCAACGGATCCAGGGGGTCCCGTTTAGGGGGAGGGGACGGTTTTCCCCCCCGTCCTGGCTTATAAAGTGTAGGAAGACGAATCTACATGTATAGAATCACACCTACGTCTACATATGTGTGTGGAAGCGCGTGTATAAAAGGCAGATGGTCAGGTCAGATCAGATCCACGCGCAAGTACAGGCACGTAAACGCAACCATACACAGGTAAGCATGCAAACGACACGTAGCTTGCGAACGAACATGCATACGCATGTGCATACACGCACGCCTAGAAAGTGCCCGCATTGTCATGTGACTCAGCATCAACTTATACCCATGCGATGTAGCCATTCGCGTACACTGTCGTGCAAGTACGTATGCACATCACTGTATATGAACGGCGCGCACGTGCTTAGACACAGTGTGGTTGCGCCCCTTGCACAGTTGCACGTGGTCAGGTACAGAGACGAATGATGCTGCTACTACACTTACGCCCGTGCGTACATACTCCGGGAACTCTGGATCCACAAATACGGGCGTCTCAAACTTGATTCCTTTTTTCAACGCGACTCCCTTTGCCTCGGAAGTTTAGCGGGGGCACCAGCACTACCGTGAAAACGACGCGGCGCGTTTCAAAATCGGAAACGAGGCCCTGGAACGGACAGCGGGTGCGCAGCGGCAGGCCCGACTGGCCTCAAACTTGCTTCCGCCGCCTTCCGCCGGCCACCCGCCGAAAGACCTGCCACCCTTCTCCTCCCGCTGGTTTCCGCAGGACCTCCGCTGGCCTCCGCCGCGGGCGAGGCTGCGCCGACGGCGAGGCCCCCTTCTGGAACGCCACGAATACACGGGGGCGGGATGGGCGAAGTCCCCGCAGCGAACACACCGCAACCCCCGCGACGACGACACACAAGGCGGCAGCGGAAGCGAAGCGGGAGGGCCGACTCCTCTTCCAGGAGATTGGCGGCCGTGTTGGTGACCACCGACAGCACGTCGGTCAGGTCCAGGGGGACCATCTCCCGAGCCTCGGAGTTCCAGAACTCCTCCTGGCAGAAGGGGGGCGGGCAGGGCGCAACGGAGGGCGAGAGCCAGCGCCGCTTGACTGCGAGGGAGCGGCTTAATGGGAGAACAGCTTCAGTAGGTCTCGCGTCCCCCCCTTCTCCCTCTCCTCCTCCTCCTCCTCCTCCTCCTCCTCCTCCTCCTCCTCCTCCTCCTCCTCCTCCTCCTCCTCCTCCTCCTGCTCACCAACACCACCATCTTCACCATCACCACCACCACCACCACTCCAATCATCATCATCATCATCATCATCATCATCATCATCATCATCATCACCACCACCACCACCATCATCATCATCATCATCATCATCATCATCATCGTCATCATCATCCTTATCATCCTTATCATCATCATCTTCATCATCAGCAGCAGCATCATCATAAGCAAAAATCATCCGCAGCAACAGCGGCAGCAGCAGCATCAGCATCATCATCATCAGCATCAGCAGCATAGTCTCACCGAATCATCATCAAAATAGAATCGGCATCATCATCAGCAGCATCATCATTATCATCACCAGCATCAGCAGCAACATCATCCTCTTGTGACTCAGCATCATCCTCATCCAGATCCTCGTCGTTACCATCAGCATCAGCATCAACAGCATCGGCATCATCATCATCATCATCATCATCATCATCATCATCATCATCATCATCATCAGCATCAGCAGCATCATCATCATCATCATCAGCATCATCATCATCATCATCATCATCATCATCATCATCCTCTTCTTCATCAGCATCATCATCATCATCATCAGCATCAGCATCATCATCATCATCACTATCATGGTCATCATCATCATCAGCAGCAGCATCATCAGCAGCAGCATCACCATCAGCAGCAGCAACATCATCTGCACCCACATTAATATCCGCACCATCGTCGTCGCCATCCTGAACATCATCATCACCATCCTCATCCTCATCATCATCACCACCACCACCATCAGCATCATCAGCATCATCATCAGCAGCATCATCAGCATCATCATAATCATCAGCATCAGCATCAGCATCAGCATCAGCATCAGCATCATCATTATCAGCATCAGCATCCTCATCATTATCATTGCCAGAATCATCATAGTCAAAATCAAACTCAACGGCCTCAACATCACCAGCTACACCACCACCAATCATCATCGCCATCACAATCACAAAAATCACCACCACCACCATCATCACCATCATCGTCACCAGCGTTGTCGTCATCACCATGATCATAATAATGATAAGCATCATCATCAGCAACATATCATCAGCAGCATGATCATCAGCAGCATCATCATCCGCTTCATCATCATCAGCATCATCATCGTCATCATCATGGTCGTTGTCGTCATCGTCGTCGTCGTCGTCATCATCATCATCATCATAATCATCATCATCATCATCATCGTCGTCATCATCATCACCAGTGTCATCAGTGCGATGTATCTAACCATCCTGCCTAGTCAGTAGGGTCTCGAACAACCACTGCGGACGACCATCGGCCGGAGTGAGCACGTGCCGTGGCCTCCCGCATAGGCGAGGAGGATCCGCGCGTGCGGTCCAGGACACGGCTCTGAAGGAGGAAACGTCGACGCTGCTATAGCACCTCAGGTGGAGGAGCAATTTAGAGAGAGAGCGAGAGAGTGAAAGCGAGAGAAAGAGGGAGAGAGGAAACAAACAAAAACGTGACGATGAACCAAAAAAATAGCCTGGCGAAGGGCCCAACCATATGCAGTTGCGAGTGCCGCAATTGTGAGGATTGTCTTCGATTGAGCTCCCGATGGGGCCACAAAACGTGTGAAGGGCGTGCCGATGTGGACGCCGAAATGGGCTCAGAAAAAATGGACTCGATGCCCAAAGGCAAATATCATCCAAAACCAACAACGGCCGCTATTGGGCAGGCAGCCTTCTGTCTCAAATGGACAACGTCCCGCGCCGACACTGACAGGGAGTCCTTCTCAAAATGAGCAGGACCTGCTGTCGGTGTTCGCATCCATACTTCCCGCACCCATCTCGATCGCACCGAGGAGGGAAGACGGACGCAGACGGAGCGCAAGGACCCCTGCTCGCCCCGAACCAGCCAATGCGTGTTCGACTCGAAATGAGCGACGAAAAGAACCGCGGCGTACGCAAGATAGCATAGCAACCTTGCGCGTCCGTGACAGCGTGAAGGGCCTCATCCTCATCTTGGTCGTCGTCCTCAACGTTGTCCCGCCTCCTCCTCGTCCTCCTGCTCCTCCTCCTCCTCGCCCCCCTCCTGCCACTCGTCCTCCTCGTCTCCTCATAATGATCGCCATCATCCTTCTCCTCCTCCGCCTCCTCCTCTTCGCCTCCGCCTCCTCCACCTCGTCGTCCTCCTCCTCGTCCTGCTCCGGTTGGGAATGGACGGGATGAGAGGGGATATCCGCTCAACTCAGTCCCCGGACCGCTTCGAGGATCCAGACGCAACAGATGTCCAAGCTGTGTCGCGACGACCCCGGCGCCCCACATGCGAACTGCGACACTGGACACTTATGCAGAGCCCACTGTGCCGCGCAACGTGTGGAGAGGTGTGCCGAATCGAGAGTGACGCCCACATGCGAGCTGCGCCAGTCGGACCTCATGCAGAGCCCCCTGCGGGGCCGCGAAACGTGTGGAGAGGTGTCCCAAGACGGTATTGACGCCCAATGCGGGCTGCGCCAGTGGGACCTTACGCGGAGCTCCCTGTGAGGCCACGAACCGTGCGATGGGTGTGCCGAAACGGTGGTGACGCCCACTTGCGGGCTGAGCAAGTGAGACCTTAGCTGGAGCTCCCTTTGGGGCCACGAAAATTGTGAGGGGTGTGCCGAAACGGGCGCGACGCCAACGTGCGAACTGCAGCTCTGGGAACTTCGGTGGAGCTTCTTATGGAGCCACGAAACGTGTGAGGGGTGTGCCGAAACGGGGGTGTCGCCCACATGCGGGCTGCGCCACTGGGGCCTTGGATGGAGCTCCCCATGGGCCCACGAAACGTGTGAGGGGGGTGCCGAAACGGGGGTGTCGCCCACATGCGGGCTGCGCCACTGGAGACTTGGGTGGAGCTCCCCATGGGGCCACGAAACGTGTGAGGGGTGTGCCATAACGGGGGGGGGTCGCCCACATGCGGGGGCCCCGGGGTCCTGGGAGGTGGTGGTCATGGGTCAGAACACCGACTCCTAGGGGTCCGGGGGGGGAGGGGGGGAATCCTGAGGGGTCCTGAGGGGAGGGGGTCCGGGTCAGCATACCGCATCCCCCCCCGGTTCCTGGCGGGTCCCGGGGGGGGTCGCCAGCGGGGGGCGCGGGGGAGGTCCCGCCTTCAGGGTCGGCGGCACTGGCCGTAAGACCTTCGCGGCAGATCTGAATACCAAATGCGCAAGTATGTTACCCCTCAACTGTGCTCTCTACTATCGGGTATATGCGCTCTTCACGATTTACTCTCTACTGTATTCTTGTGACCGTAGCCGCAAGGACCCGAGTGAACCCGAAGACCCGGGAACCTCACCTCACAGCGCTGAGAATTCTCCGGGGGCGTCCAAGCAGGGGGCGTCCAAGAGGGGGGGGCGGGGGCGAACTCATGGCCGCCGGCATGTGCGCGGGCCAGGGGGTGGCCGGAGACGTTTTGGAATACGAAGAAGCACCCTGAAATATAGGGAGATATCATGGCCCCCGCCCGCCATCAGATTCACACACGGCCCAATCATCACCCCCCCTTGGCCGCCCCCGAAAAATCGGCCCGGATCCCGGAACCAGGAGCCGCGGAGCCCAACACCGGGAACCCAGGAGACCCGGCCTCTGACAGAACTCGGCGCCGCACCTTCACTTGCTCTTTCAAGCTCCACTGGGACCCGTTCAATGCAAGCACGGATTGGGGAAATATATTTATAGGAAAAGAGAGAGAGAGAGAGAGAAAGAGAGAGAGAGAGAGGGACAAGAGAGAGAGAGAGACACACAGAGAGAGAGGGAGAGAGAGAGACAGAGAGAGAGAGAGACAGAGAGACAGAGATAATAGATACAGAGACACAGAGAGAGAGAGACACAGAGACAGAGACAGCGCGGTCGGAGAGCCCGCCCCAGCGACAAGGGTGCTCGCCCCCCGCCCGCTGCACTGTTTGAGCCAGGGCGAGGCCGCATGGCACCTGACGGCGAGGTTCCCCAGGGCCGGCTCTTCATGGAGGAGGAGGAGGAGGAGGAGGAGGAGGAGGAGGAGGAGGAGGAGAAAGAGGCCGTTTCCTGAGGGCCCCCCGATCCCGAAGACGGCCCCGAACGGCGAGACCTGCGAAAGACCTCCGCTCAGACTCTGCCGGCGTCGGGCACCCCCAAGAAGGCCCTCGGCGAGGCCCGGCTGCCGGCAGACCTCCCGAGGCGAGCAGCTCTTCAGAAACACACGACGAGCCCATCGGAGGCCCAAAACTGAAGGGGCCCTGGGACACACAAATAAATGCACACATATAACAAGACTCCCCATAGTTTCCCATATCTTCTGGGTTTTGTCACCCCCCCACTTCCCATACATCCCCAGGCCGAAAGTTTTTCCTCTTGGACTAAAATATGACAACATCAATGGATCCAATTGGATCCCTTTTTTCGGGTGTGGGAGAATTTCGTGGATCCTATTTCTGCGTTGCGCGGATCGAATTTCCTGTGTGTGACAAAACGATGGATCCGTTTTTTCCCGGGAATAAATATATAATAGTAATTAACATCCGGGACCCAGGGGAAATAGGATCCGCTGAGCACCACAGGTGAAGCATCATGCTATCCACGGAGCTGTGGATCTGCAGACCAATGCTATGATTCTACGGGGGAGGGGGTCTTCGCAGGATGAAGAGGGGAAGGATGAGGGAAGAGGCAAGAGGAGGTAGGAGGAGAACAGAGGGGATCGGCGCGTCGCTTCCGACATGTGGGGCTCAAGAGGAAAATCTTTCGGCCTGCGTAAGTATTTTCTTATATTTCTGGGGAATCGACGATTAATTGTGTCTGTGTGTTTTTTCCCTCCCGGAAAACATCCGAGCGGCAGCTCCCACCGCTCTCCGGGGCGACAAACAGATCCGCATCCGCAACCTCGCGGAAGCCGGCCCCTGGGCCGTGACCCCGCGGATGCGGAGCGCTTTGTCCGCGGATGCCCCCGCGCGGAACGCATCCGTGCAACCGCGCATCCGCGGGGTCACGCCCCGGAAACCAGACCGCGAGGGCGCGGATCCGGGTGTGTTCGCCGCTCGTGGCCATGGCTCCTCCGTCATCGCAGTGACGGTCATGGGCAGGACCGTCTTCGGACCCTTCGACAGGGTCCAGTCGCCCAGCACCGTGCCTCAGGGCTCGAGCGACGAGGCCGCCCGCCTCACCGCCTCATCCCTCCCTCCGTCCCTCAGTCCTCCTCCTGCTCCTGCTCCTGCTCCTGCTCCTGCTCTCATCCTCCTCCTCCTCATCCTCCTCCTCCTCCTCCTCCTCCTCCTCCTCTCCTCCATCATCATCATCATCATCATCATCATCATCATCATCATCATCCATCATCATCATCATCATCATCATCAGCAATCATCATCATCATCATCATCATCATCATCATCATCATCATCATCATCATCATCATCTCATCATCCTCATCATCCTTTCCTCATCATCCTCATCATCCTCATCATCCTCATCCTCATCCTCATCCTCATCCTTACCCTCCTGCTGCTGCTGCTCCTCCTCCTCCTGCTCCTGCTCCTCCTCCTTTTTTTTCCTCCTCCTCCTCCTGCTCCTACTCCTCTCCTCCTCCTCCTCCTCCCCCTCCTCCTCCCCCACCCTGGTCCTTCTCCTCCTCCTCCTCCTCCTCCTCCTCCTCCTCCTCCTCCATCATCTCATCATCATCATCATCATCATCATCATCATCATCATCATCATCATCATCATCATCATCATCATCATCATCATCATCATCATCATCATCATCATCATCATCATCATCATCATCATCCACCTCCTCTTCATCCTCCTCCTCATCCCTACCACCACCACCATCAGCAGCAGTAACAGCAGCATCATCACCATCGTCGTCGTCATCATCATCACCACCACCACCAGCAACAGCAGCATCATCAACATCATCATCGACGTCTGCATCATCATACTCAGCACCAGATCAGCAGGAGCATCATCATCGTCGTCGTGGTCGTCGTCGTGGCCTTCGTCGTCGTCAGCATCACCATCTATCATCATTTTCACCATCACCATCATCAGCACCATCATCAACATCATCATCATCATCATAATCATCATCATCATCATCATCATCATCATCATCATCATCATCATCATCATCATCATCATCATCATCATCATCACCATCATCATCACCATCATCAGCAGCAGCATCACTGCCGCCAGGATCGCCCTCGGCCCCTCCGAGGCGGCCCAGGCCGCCGGACACCGCGCCCTGGGCCAGGGGCCTCGGCTGCGGCGGCTCCCCTGCCGAAGCCACCGTCTCTCACGCGCACCACCGACCCACGCGCCCACACACACACACACACACACACACCGAGCACGATAGGCTATGAGGAAAATGATGGAGGCCTCGCGCGGCAGATTGAGAGCCACTACACGTCCGATCCACGTCGGAGGCACACCATGTCCACGTCGGACCACGTCGGATGTATCTCGGGTTCGCGTCGGAGTCACGCCGGACGTCCGCCGTAGCGTCGCCGCGCGAAGGTCGCCCCCCACGTCTTGCGGGGGGGCCGACGTGCGGACTGGATGCTACCACTACTGCGCGCCGCGCGAGGCCTCCTGGATTGTCTTCGTTCGGCCAAAGACTGGGCTTGGAGCCCAGTCCCTGTCTTCTGGGGCTGAGATGGCCCAGCACTGGCTCCGGCGAGCAGACGTGGGGGCAGGGGCCACCTCACCGCCCCTTCTGGCCGCGGCTCGAAAAACTGATCGGCTCCGACCCTGGGAGGGGTTTGGGGGACAGACTTTGAGCGAACTTGCCATCGCATCCTCCCCTCTGGACGACTCTCCTCGGGCTCTTCCGGCTCAGACCCCCCCTGGCCGCCTCCAAGACTGGGCCACCACACGGCACGCTCGCGCCGTGACGGCTCTGGCCAGGGCTGGACCTAAGCGGTGTCTTGGCCACCTCGTGGGCCGTTTTGCTCTTCGTTCTGTTCTGCACTCGTGGCGGAGCGAAGGCAAAACGAGAAGGAACGAAAAGCAAAACGTTTAGGTTCAGCCCTGACTCTGGCGATGGTTTCTGACCACGCGCGGATCGCTCAAACCTTGAGCGCTCGCGGCTCTCCGATTGGCACGGACCCTTCCCGATCGGCCGACTCTGGGCCACCGGCGCGGCTCTCAACCCCTCGACCGCCCGCGCCGGGGCCGCCGCCGCGCCGACACGACACGCACCTGCCCCGCAGGCCTCGTGCTACAGTTGGGGCGTTGACCTCAGGAACGATCAAGAAGGAACGAGGCCCCCGTTTCCCATGAGTGAAACTTCGATGCCCCGTCGAGGACCTCAGGAAAACCTAAGGCAAGCTGTGAAACAAATCAGGGGAGGATAATTTCTTGGCGGCCTGGTTTTTCGTCCCGAGTCGTCTTTTGACGGCCCTGGTGCCCGCAAAGGGCCCCTGGAGGCCGAAGACGCCCCCGCCGTGCTTTTTGTCCACGAGGAGAGGAGGCGGAAGCCTTGACGGCTGGCCTCCACTGCCCAGCGCCTGCGCGAGGAGGAAGGCGAGGCGGAGGGGGATTCCCACACGCCCCTCTGTGACTGCATGGGAGTCGATTCTCCTCGCCCCGCCGACCTCTCCCTCCCCCCCTCTCTGGCCATCGCTCGGACGTCCATTCCCTGTGTTTTTTTCGGTTTCGTGCGTGGCTTTTTCGCCAAATTATCAAGGATGCTCCTCGATGGTCCTCGCCCAAGGAAAAATGCGCACGTCCGAGCGATGCCAAGCTCTTGCCCCGCGGCGCGCCTACTTGGACGGACTGGATCTCCGCGCGGCACAGCGCGAGCGAGGGGGCCTTGACCTGCCCCTTCTGCCACGACGAGAACTTCCACTTCAGGGCCTTCGCGTCGAACCTCGAAAGAGGGAGGGGCGGCGCGGCGAGGTAGGGCGGCGAGATCTATACATATCCACTGCTCCCTGGCCAGGCCCAGCCTGAACCCAGCAGCGGTGCATACGCCACGCCCTCCTGGCTTGGCCAGGAGGGCGTATACACAGCTCGTGAGCTCAGGATGGGCCTGGCCGGGGAGCAGTGGATATGTATAGACCTCGCCGCCCGACGAGGGGGGCCTCGCGCAGTGCCAGAGGGGGGGGCGCCGGCAAGGGGCTCAGCACCTCACCGCCTCCCGGAGATCGAGGGTCGAAGGGCCTCGGCGCGCGGATCGAGGAGGCTCGAGGATCGAGGAGGCTCGAGGATCGAGGAGGCTCGAGGCTCGAGGAGCGAGAATCGAGGAGGCTCGAGGCTCGAGGCTCGAGGATCGAGGATCGAGGAGGCTCGAGGATCGAGAAGGCTCGAGGATCGAGGAGGCTCGAGGCTCGAGGAGCGAGGCGGTCTGCTGGCGCTTCCGGACGTCCCTGGAAAACCTGGAGGCGCGCCGGGGGCGTAGGGGGCGTGCGGGGCCCAGGGAGGGCCCGCCTCCTCGAGGCGGCGCCCCCCGCCCCTCCCCCCCCCTTGTGGTGGCCCCCCACACCCCCCCTCTCGTCGTTGCCTGGGGGTCGGGGGTGGAGGCCCCCCCCCCCCCCCCCACGCCCCCCCCCCCCTCCCCAGGGGCACCCCCCCCCCCTCCCTCGACACTGCCCAGGGGTCGGGGGTCGGGGGTCGGGGGCTGGAGGGCCTGTGCCGCCCGCGGGCGGCCGTGGGGGCCCTCCCCGCCCACGCCCCCCCCCCCCCGCCCCGCCCACGCCCCTCGTCCCTGCCTGGGGGGTCGGGGGCTGGAGGCGGCGGAGGCGGGGCGAGGGGCGGCCGGAGGAGGAGAGGGGCGCCCCGACGGCGGCGTCGGCGGGCGCGGCAGGCAGGGCATGCGATCGCGCTGCGCTGCGCGCTCCCGGTCCCGAGGCCGTGAGCGCGCGCTTTCGGAAGTCGTCGTCTCGGGTCCACCTGGCCCCTTCTTCATGTGGTCGGTGCACAAGAGAGGAGGGAAGCTGCATCGGGGCAGGAACGGCCAGGGGGGCAGGAGGGAGGGCGGCGCGAGAGCAGGAGAGCAGGAGGAGAAGCAGCAAGGGGGAGAGGGAGAAGAGGGTGGAGCCAAGAGGCGGGAGAGAGAAGGGGGCGGGAGGACGAGCAGGGCAGCCTGAGACGGGGACACGCGGAGGCCAAAGACGGAGGACGGCGTTGGGAAGAGGGCTATTTGAAGGAGGAGGCAGGCAGGAGAGAGGGGTAGAGGAGGGGGAGGAGGGCGGAGGAAAGAGCGAGGAAGCAGAGTGCAGAGGAGAAGGATAGAGAGTGGGGAGGGCGGAGGAAAGAGACGGGACGAAGGGAGGGACGGGAGAAGAGGAAGGATGGAGGGGGCAGAAGGGATGAGGCAGAAGGCACAAAGGGGGGCAGAAGGGGAGAGGGAGGAGGCAGGAGGGCACCAGCTGGATGATCCAGGAAGGGGTCGCCCGCTCGGCGCACGACACGTGAGCTGCTCTTCACTCGACGAACCCCAGAGCAATCCACGTCAGAACGCACTGGGCGCATGCTCCTGGACGAGGGAACTTCCTGGATAGAGGAACTGCGGCTTCGGTGAGCTGCTGCACTGCTTCATGCCTCGGGCTGCTTGCCAGCAGGCCGAATCGTCCCGAACGGCCGCCTTATGGCCCGAGACATAGACGTGCAACGTCTTGAACTCAATACGTCAGATGATGGCCGCTTCTGGCCTCCGGGGTGATCCTCGCCAGAACCCCAGGGCGGTCAGGAAACGACCTGGGCTGAGAAGCCGGCCCCAGGACCCTAGGGGAAGCCCGCCCCAGGAAGAGAGTCGGGGCTTCCAGGGTGTACACGGAGGAAATCTGAAGATCGGATGTCTCTGGTCCCGCCCCTGGAGGCCGCCCACATGGGGGCCAGAATGGATGGGGCTGGAGCATCGCCCATGCATCGGCGATGCATCGGCGACGTCGGGACGGAGAAAATCGGGATCCAAAGCACGACGCATCGCCTACCTCGCGCCACCCCTTTGGGGCGCCGCCAGGATGCGCGTCGCCGATGCATCTGCGATGCGGCGTGCTTTAGGGCCGGAGCTCCTCCATCCCGACGTCGCCGATCGGCGATGCTCCAGCCCCTTCTATTCTGGGCACCCTTTGGGAGGCCTCCCGGCGCGGGCCCCCAGAGACATCCGATGCTCTGGTTCCCTCAGACGCGCGCGGATCCAGCGCAGATCCGGCGCGGAGGCGCCGCCGGGCTGCTCCAGCGCGGATCCAAGAGGTCCGCGCGGGCCGTCGAAAAAATGTATCGGCGAGAGGGGCCGGGCCTGCTCGGAAGGCTCGGAAGTCCCCCGGCCTTCTGAGAGGTCCTCGCGAAGCCTCCCCCGAGGCCACAGAGCGCTTCTCGGAGGGCGCGAGCGCCTCTGAGAAGTCCCGCCGCCTTCTGAGCAGGCCTTCTCCTTCTCACTTCCCCTCCTCGCTCGCCGCCGAGTTACGTGTGAAGTCGGACGACCAAAAGCGGGTCTTACGCGAGATGACACAGCCACCTTGCGCGGTGGCTTGCGCGGGCCGCTGGCGCGGCACGCCACATTGGAGACGAGGGCGCTCACGCGCAACCTCACGCAGGCAACTTGCGCGCCAATGTCGGCGAAGCGAAGGAGGAGGAGGAGGAGGAGGAGGAGGAGGAGGAGGAGGAGGAGGAGAGGAGGAGGAGGAGGAGGAGGAGGAGGATGAGGAGGAGGAGGAGGAGGAGGAGGAGGAGGAGGAGGAGGAGGGAGGAGGAGGGGGAGGAGGAGGAGGAGGGAGGAGGAGGAGGAGGAGGAGGAGGAGGGAGGAGGAGGAGGAGGAGGAGGAGGAGGAGGAGGAGGAAGGGAGGAGGAGGAGGAGGAGGAGGAGGAGGAGGAGGAGGGAGGAGTACCCGAGGCCCCCCCGGGGGGCGGCAGCTCGAGCTCTGCCGGGGTGGCCGGGGCACCACATGTACGGCCAGTTGCCGTCGGTCCTCTCCGCGAAGGCCCCGTAGACGTAGGCGCCCCGCTCCTCCAGGGAGTCCTTCGGGCAGCGTCGGACCGACCCGTCCTCAAGTCGGGCATGTGCCTCTGCAGGGGGATCTTCGACGAAAAATAAAAAATACTCCAACAATAACCAAAAAATAATCCAAACATAGTCTGGGGACTATTTGGGGGGTATCTTTTGACCTTTTTGGGTTATGTTTGGGGTATTTTTTCTTTTTCGTCGAAAATCCCCCTGTATGGGGGACACGCCCGACATAACCCTACCCTTCAGTCGGGCATGTCCCTCTACAGGAGGAATCTTCAAAAGAAGTCTGGTGACGATGTTTCGAGTGCGTGTGGCTGCGTTTGAGTATGGTTTGACTGTTCTTCATTCTTCATCGAAGAGCCGCCCGTAGGAGGACATGCCCGACCTGGCCCTATCCCCGACGGCGTGGCCTGGGCCCCCACTGGCCGACCTCTACCTTCCCCCCCCCTAAGACAGGGGGATGCAGGCCCTTCCCTGCGGGCTTCGAGGGGCACGTCCCCCACCGGGGAGTGCTGAGGTGGCTGGGGCCTCCGGATGGGGAGGGGGGCGGGGAGAGTCGGCGGCGACGACAGGGGCGCATAGCCCAGGGGCGGGCATGACACGCCTTCGCCCGGGAGCCTTTCCGAAGACACAGATCGTCGGCGCACCTGAATAGATGGTTTTTGCTCTCCCCTGGGCTAGTCGCCCCCATCGTCGCCTCTGGAAGAGAGGGGGCCGGCGAAGCGGTGCGGCTCCTTGGTGGACGACAGGAGCAGCGTGCCGTTCAGCCACTCCTGGGCGGCGGGGGCGCGTACCAAAGGCAACTGGGAGTGGTTGCAATATCTGGTGCAGCCTCCGCCCCGAAAAGCCCCAAAGGGGGGCATCGAGTAACCATAATGCTGTCATCGGCATAACCAAACCACGCCATGGAGCCAAGTCCAGCGACCTCTTTACTCCAGTAGGATGGGTGGGCCTCAATGACGGTTGTGGGCGAGCCCATGCACGCCAGCAGTGCCGCGGGGGAGCGCCGAGGCCGCGGCCGGCGCCGCGAGGGGGGAGGCGGGGCGCGGCCAGGAGCCGGGAGCAGCCAGGGAGGCGGGAGCTCAGAGGGCTCAGGGCGCGTGCTCCCCCGAGGAGCGCGAGGCGCCCCGCGCCAGCCTGAAGGGGCCCTGGGACAGGCAAATGAAGACACACAAATAGAAGGATCCCCCATATTTCCACATGTTTTCTGGGTTTTTGCTTCCCCCCCACTTCCCATAGTTTCCCATATTTTCGGGGGAATCGACGATGAATTGTGTCTGTGTGTTTTGTTCCCTCCTGAGGGGATGCGGGAGCTCAGAGGGCTCAGGGCGCGTGCTCCCCCGAGGAGCGCGAGGCGCCCCGCGCCAGCTCCGCGGGGGGGGGGGCAGGCCCCCCCAGCTGGGGGCGCCAGGGCGGGCGGGGCCGGCGGGTCGCACGGGGTCGCCGAGGCGTCGGCGGCGCCTCGGCGGCGGCGGGGTGGAGGAGATTTGCGCTGCGGGCCTCGCCGCCTCGCCGACGCAGCGGCGAGGCTCTACGCGATCCTCCGCCCCCGTCTGCTGCGCCCGCCTGGGAGGCCCGGGGCAGGAGGGGAAGGGGAGGGGAGGAGCACGTCCAGGGAGCACGATCGGTGGCCCGGACATCCAGCACCCCTTGAAAAGCGAGGCGGCTGGTCTGTCGCCTGTTTTGGAGGCTCGGGAGGCCAGCATCGAGCCTCGGGACCTTCAGAAACGGTGCGGGGTCCAAGCCAGCCTTGGGGACGGGGTCGAGAGGCTCGGGATGGCCACGCATGGGACAGGTCGGAGCGCCAGATGTCGGGGGGGGGGGAGGAGAGGGAGCCGGCAGCCAGCAGAGGAGAGGAAGGAACGAGGGAGAGGATAAGGGCGGCCAGGGCAGCCACCCCCCGAGGAGGGTGCTGCTGGGCCTCGGCGGGCCGCCGCGCCGCCGCGAGCGGGAGCCAGCCCCGCAGACGGGGCAAGGGCAGCGAGGGGAGGACGAGGCGGACGCGGCAGCCTCCACCATCACCAACAGCAGCACGAAAACCACCACCACCACCACCACCATCAAGCAGGGTGCTCTTGCTGCTGCTGCTGCTGTTGGCGATGCCGGAGGCATGGGCCCGCCTCGCTGGAGCCCGCCGCCTCGCCACGATCCGCTGCGCCGCCCGGCCCGCTTCGCCGCAGGCCCGCTTCCCCAGAGGACCGCTTCGCCACGAGGCGGCCCGCTCCGCGCCGTAGAGGCCCGCTCCGCGCCGTAGAGGCCCGCTCGCTGCCCTCGTCCCCGTCGGGCGGCCGGCCCCCGACGGGCGGGCCGGGCGGGCGGAGCAGCGGGTCGGGCGGGCGGCACATTAAGAAGCCCGCCGCCCGCACACGGTCGAGCGGACCCTAACGGCAGGGTCGGGCGCGCCGCCCCCCCTAACGACCCCAGCCAGGCGGGCGCACGCTGACGGGCGGGCCTGGGCGGGCCTGGGCGGTGAAGCGGGCGGGCGCCGGCGTGCAGGCACGCGAGCGAGCGGGCCCCCTGGCGGGCGGGTGGGGCGGGCGGGGCCCAGCACGGCGGCCGCCGGCTTCCCCGCCGGCACCCCCAGCACGGGGGGGGGGGAGTCAGCCCGAACCCTTCCGTCGCACGACCTCCCTCCCCGTGGATCTCCACGAGGTCGCGCCTCGCGCGAAGCGCGCGAAGCGCGGTCCCCTCCGCGCCCCTGCGGGCGACCTAAGGTTCCCGCACGACGGCGCGGCTGCCCGTGCCCGAGGTCACCAGGCCCCAGCGTTCGGCTCAGCGCCGCTGGATGACGAACCAACAACACACACACACACTCACACACGCACACACACACACACACACACACCCATACCCATAGGGGGGTCGGAGAGGGCTATGGGTGCGTGTTGTCGAATGGGGGTCCCCGCTCGAACGGGATCGTTCCCCAGGGTCCGACAACCCGCACCCATACCCATAGCCAGTCCTCCTCTCAACGACCCCCCCTATGGGTATGGGTGTGCCAGCACGGCACGCCAGTGGAAGCGAGGGCCTCTCACGCGCGACCCGACGCGGGCAGCCCGCGCGCGAACGTCGGCGCAGGCGGCCCCGTTTTTTTCTCGCGTCGCTCAACTGGCCTGCGAAGAGACGGTGCGGAGAGGGAGGCAGGAGAAAAGACGGAGCAAAACGGAGCGGAGGGAGGACGGGAGCGGGCACGACTTGCTGGACCACCAGAGCTCATGGACGGGGCCAGCCGCTTCGGCGGAGGCGACCTGCCTCCCAAAGGACAAACAGGCCGAATAGAGCCTCGGACACGGCCGAATCGTGGCGAGCACGCCTCGTGCACCAGGACGCATCAACACATGATCTGGCCTCCGATTTGCCCTGGCCGCAGCCTTCGAACTCCAACCTGGCTACCCAGAGCAGCAGAGGTTGCATTTGCCACTCACACTCCGAGGCCCTTGAACTCCGGATCACTCGAAACCCGATCTGGCGTTCGGTCCAGCCGAGAAGACTCTGAGCTGGCACCGAGTGCAACACAGACTGTACGGTGGCCAACCGCGCAGAGAGAGAATCGGGGTCGGGCCTCTTTCGCATCTTTGACCACCACCGCCAGTGGGAGCCCGCATCCTTCAGCGTGTCTAACGGTGCACGCGTCCCATGGCTTTTTGTTCTTGTCGATCTTGGCCACTATCGCCTGCGAGGCGGTGCTCGAAAACTGACTGAGAGAGAGAGAGAGGAATCAGGAACAGACGTGCAAGGAAGATCAGGAGCAGAACAACAATCGATGCCGACTGGCGCGGTCGCAACTCTACTTCTTCCCTATGTCGAAGCGGTAACTCTGGTTCTAGGTGTTGTAGGCCCAATGGCTGCCTCGAATCCCCAATTGCAACGCGGTTGCGCGAGACTTGACTGGCTGGCTCAGATCCAGCGGATTCTGACAACATCGTTATGCGTTTAGCTGCGCTCCAGGCAACGGCTTAACAATCCTCTCATTTCGAACCTGGCTGCACCTTTACTGCTTGCAGACTGGCTCGGCTTAACATCATGGCACTCATCGGGGATCTGCGAGGCCTGGTAGCCTATCCTCCTGACTGCCTCTGGCTCCACTTGCATACCACTCCCGCCTGCGTCCGAGGCACGTGCACACGCACGGAGCCATGCTGCCCACGGCCTGCCCGACTGCACACCACAGGCCGCTTTCTCACCGAAACTCCCACCTGCAGCTCGGCAACACGTAATATTTGACTCGCTGGATTGATATGAAGGGGCCCTGGGACACACAAATAAATACACACAAATAAAAAGATTCCCCAGAATTTCCATATGTTCTGGGTATTTTTCTTCCCCCCACTTCCCATATGTTCCCATATTTTCTGTGGAATGGAGGATAAATTGTGATGAATCATAAGCATATCAATCGCAATGTGTGTTTTTCCCCTCCTGATGATAGTGTGGGAAGGGGGAATCGACATAAGCTTCTGGAGCGGTTCGGGAAAATGGGCCCACCGGTATGGAGGCGGCTGCGGGGGGGGAGCTGGATGGGCCCCGAGAGAGTCGAGCAAGAGGGGGGGATAAGGACAGAGCCGCTCCAAATTGGTCCCCGGCCTGAGGAGGAGGAGGAGGAGGAGGAGGAGGAGGAGGAGGAGGAGGAGGAGGGAGGAGGAGGAAGATGAGGAGGAGGAGGAAGAGGAGGAGGAGCGGTGGTGTCCATCTGGCACCGTTTTTCACCCCTGATTAGTTCAAGGTCCTGGTGACCGACAATGGCAGCTGGAGACAAACAACAACAACAACAACAACAACAACAACAACAACAACAACAACAACAACAACAACAATTACTAGCACGTGGGGACACTCCGTTCTCACCAGTGCCAGGGTTTTCATAGGAGGCGGGCAATACCCCCACTTTGTGGGGGGGCCGGTTCAAGCTCTACCAAATTTCCAAACGACTCTTCGCCACCACCCACACCCAGCTTCCCGCCCTATGACGTTCGGACACTTCACTTCGTGGCATGCGGACGACCGTGGCTACTATTCAGGGCCCCGCGGCCGACGACGACGGCGTGCGCGCGCGAAGAAAAAACGAATGTGTCCCGCATGGTATTATTTGACAGGGATGATGGCCCTGGCAGGTGCGCAACCGTTGTCGCAGAAGTTCGAAAAAGTTGCTCGCAAAAGCCCGTTTGACAGAAATGTTTAAAAAGTGTTGGGTTTCCTACGAATCCGCAAGAGCGCGCGGGATGAGATTTTGACATTTTTTGTTGAAAAACCATTGGTTTTTTGATGTTTTTATGTTAAAATCGCTGCGAACACTAAGGTTTTGGAAGGATTTCGTCTTGCGCGCGCGAATGTCCACTTTACCTTATTTTTTGCAAGGGATTCTTGAAATTTGATTATATTAGAACAAGAAATGTCATTTTCTATTGTTTTTTGCAAGGGAAAGCGGATTACAACAAAACAACCGGATCCTGTACACACCCTCTTTTCTGAGGCTTCCTCACGAAAATGATGAAAATGTAGCTGCGGCCTAGGCGGCGCAGGGGGGGCGCGCACCAGGGGGCCCAACAATAATTATTCTTTAGAATAAATAATGTTCAACAACAACAACAACAACAACAATCACTTTACCCGAACGCTCAGTGTTCTCACCAGTGCCAGGGTTTTCATGCGACGCCAGCCAATACCCCCACTTTGTGGGGGGGCAGTGCAAGCTCTACCAAATATCCACACGACTCTTCGCCACCACCCACACCCAGCTTCCCGCCCTATGACGTTCGGACACTTCACTTCGTGGCCTGCGGACGACCGTGGCTACTACACTGGCGTGGAGTACACACCCACAGAAGTTGTTAAGCCTACGTTCGTACACCCACAGAAGTTGTTAAGCCTTGTTAACCCACAGAAGTTGTTAAGCCTTCCACAGAACATCTGTTGCATATGATGCATATGGTACATGATACACATGATACACATGATACGTACTCACAAGATAGTTGATCACATCTTTAGGGCAAATTCCTGAGGGATGTGGGAATACACAAGAGAGAGAGGATATGGTTGTCCCGATGGTTGTCTCGATGGTTGTCCCGATGGTTGTCCTGATGGTTGTGGTTGTCCCGATCGTTGTCCCGATGATTGTCCCGATGGTTGTCCTGATGTTTGTGCTTGTCCCGATCGTTGTCCCGATGACTGTCCCGATGATTGTCCCGATGGTTGTCCCGATGGTTGCTCGCAAAAGCCCGTTTGACAGAAATGTTTAAAAAGTGTTGGGTTTCCTACGAATCCGCAAGAGCGCGCGGGATGAGATTTTGACATTTTTTTGTTGAAAAACCATTGGTTTTTTGATGTTTTTATGTTAAAATCGCTGCGAACACTAAGCTTTTGGAAGGATTTCGTCTTGCGCGCGCGAATGTCCACTTTACCTTATTTTTTGCAAGGGATTCTTGAAATTTGATTATATTAGAACAAGAAATGTCATTTTCTATTGTTTTTTGCAAGGGAAAGCGGATTACAACAAAACAACCGGATCCTGTACACACCCTCTTTTCTGAGGCTTCCTCACGAAAATGATGAAAATGTAGCTGCGGCCTAGGCGGCGCAGGGGGGGCGCGCACCAGGGGGCCCAACAATAATTATTCTTTAGAATAAATAATGTTCAACAACAACAACAACAACAACAACAACAACAACAACAACAACAATTACTAGCACGTGGGGACACTCCGTTCTCACCAGTGCCAGGGTTTTCATAGGAGGCGGGCAATACCCCCACTTTGTGGGGGGGCCGGTTCAAGCTCTACCAAATTTCCAAACGACTCTTCGCCACCACCCACACCCAGCTTCCCGCCCTATGACGTTCGGACACTTCACTTCGTGGCCTGCGGACGACCGTGGCTACTACACTGGCGCATGGGTACAGTGACTTGTTGTGGTAACATTTTCTGGACGCTAGCTTAGTATACGACTTTTCCCCCTGTTCCAACACTGGACACCTATACTGGTTTTTGGAAAAAACCATTGTTTTTTTTAGGATTCGGACAGCGCGCGCGGGTAGAAATTTTGAAAAGTCGTGCAGGTGTTTTTCGAGGACCTACGGTGCGATTCGTGTGATTTTATGATGCGCGGTGCTAAAATTCTTAAAAACCCAATGGTTTTTGGAGATTTCGGCGTGCGCGCGCGAAGAAAAAACGAATGTGTCCCGCATGGTATTATTTGACAGGGATGATGGCCCTGGCAGGTGCGCAACCGTTGTCGCAGAAGTTCGAAAAAGTTGCTCGCAAAAGCCCGTTTGACAGAAATGTTTAAAAAGTGTTGGGTTTCCTACGAATCCGCAAGAGCGCGCGGGATGAGATTTTGACATTTTTTGTTGAAAAACCATTGGTTTTTTGATGTTTTTATGTTAAAATCGCTCCGAACACTAAGCTTTTGGAAGGATTTCGTCTTGCGCGCGCGAATGTCCACTTTACCTTATTTTTTGCAAGGGATTCTTGAAATTTGATTATATTAGAACAAGAAATGTCATTTTATAGTGTTTTTTGCAAGGGAAAACGGATTACAACAAAACAACCGGATCTGGATCACATCGTTTTACCTGAGGCTTCCTCACGAAAATGATGAAAATGTAGCTGCGGCCTAGGCGGCGCAGGGGGGGCGCGCACCAGGGGGCCCAACAATAATTATTCTTTAGAATAAATAATGTTCAACAACAACAACAATCACTTTACCCGAACGCTCAGTGTTCTCACCAGTGCCAGGGTTTTCATGCGACGCCAGCCAATACCCCCACTTTGTGGGGGGGCAGTGCAAGCTCTACCAAATATCCACACGACTCTTCGCCACCACCCACACCCAGCTTCCCGCCCTATGACGTTCGGACACTTCACTTCGTGGCCTGCGGACGACCGTGGCTACTACACTGGCGTGGAGTACACACCCACAGAAGTTGTTAGGACAGCGCGCGCGGGTAGAAATTTTGAAAAGTCGTGCAGGTGTTTTTCGAGGACCTACGGTGCGATTCGTGTGATTTTATGATGCGCGGTGCTAAAATTCTTAAGAAGCCCAATGGTTTTTGGAGATTTCGGCGTGCGCGCGCGAAGAAAAAACGAATGTGTCCCGCATGGTATTATTTGACAGGGATGATGGCCCTGGCAGGTGCGCAACCGTTGTCGCAGAAGTTCGAAAAAGTTGCTCGCAAAAGCCCGTTTGACAGAAATGTTTAAAAAGTGTTGGGTTTCCTACGAATCCGCAAGAGCGCGCGGGATGAGATTTTGACATTTTTTTGTTGAAAAACCATTGGTTTTTTGATGTTTTTATGTTAAAATCGCTCCGAACACTAAGCTTTTGGAAGGATTTCGTCTTGCGCGCGCGAATGTCCACTTTACCTTATTTTTTGCAAGGGATTCTTGAAATTTGATTATATTAGAACAAGAAATGTCATTTTATAGTGTTTTTTGCAAGGGAAAGCGGGGGGGAACAAAACAACCGGATCTTGATCACATCGAATTACCTGAGGCTTCCTCACGAAAATGATGAAAATGTAGCTGCGGCCTAGGCGGCGCAGGGGGGCGTGCACCAGGGGGCCCAACAATAATTATTCTTTAGAATTAATAATGTTCAACACAACAACAACAACAACAACAACAACAACAACAACAACAACAACAACAACAACAACAACAACAACAACAACAACACAAAACAAAACAAAACAAACAAAACATACCCCCCCCCCCCCCCCCCCCGAAAACAAAAAAATGGTACCCAAGAAAAAAACCCAATCAAAGTCGTGTCTGGGCTATAGGGCTATGGGGCTATTGGGCTATAGGGCGATTGAGCTATGGTACTATAGGGCTATGGAACTATAGGGTTATTGGCCTTAGGGCTATAGGTCCATAGGGCTATAGGGCTATGAGGCCATAGGGTTATTGGGCTATTGGGCTATAGGGCTGTGTGGCTATGGAGCTCTGGGGCTATGGGGCTATAGGGCTATAGGGCTATAGGTGCTACAAGGCTACAGGGCTATAGGGCTATAGGGCTATGGACAATAGGGCTGTAGGGCTATAAGGATATAGGGATATAGGCCTATAGGGCTATAGGGCTATAGGGTTATAGGCATGTAGAGCTATAGCAGCTATAGGGATAGAGGGCTATAGGGCTATAGGGCTACAGGGCTATAAAGCTATAAGGCTATAGGGCTACAGGGCTATAGGAATATATGGATATCGGGCTATAGGGCGATTGGGCTATTGGACAATAGGGCTATAGGGCTATAGGGCTATAGGGCTATCGGGCTATAGGGCTATAGGGTTATAGGGCTATAGGGCTATAGGGCTCTAGGGCGATAGGGCTATAATGCTATGGGGCTACAGGGCTATTGGGCTATGGGCCTACAAGCTTATAGGGCTATAGGGCTATAGGGCTATAGGGCTATACAAGGCTATAGGGCTATAGGGCTATAAGGCTATAGGGCTATAAGGCACCCGGGCACCCGGGCACCCGGGCGGGCCGCGGAAATCGGTGACAAACCTCACCTAACCATATGAATACGCTAGGGCCCCTACAGAGGCAAGCTCTGTTTGGGAAACATCTCGAATCCAGAACCTCGAACCTCGCCCCCCCTTCCTGCTGGCTGGAACCAGTGCTGGGCGACTTCAAACTCCCAGCCGACTCTAACCACCCTTAACGTCTGCGGGGACGGTACAACTCAGACGCAGGCAAGCGCACACCTGCGCGCGTGTAGCAGCAGGGCTGTCCCCAATCGAGGAGGGAGGCGAGAGGCGGCGAGGGGTGTCAACTTTCCACTGGGGCCAGGAGGCCGTGTGAGTGGGCTCGGGGGCCTGCTGCAAGCCTGAAGCAGGGAGGAGGGGGAGAGCAAGGGGGAGGATGGATGGCTGGCCCGTCACGCTGGATGGGCCTCCACGACGGCGGGGTCACCAGACCATCCGACCCAGTCCAACCCTCTCGCCACGCACGCCGAGGCTTCCGAAAACTCCCACCACTGCGTCGCCTTCTGGCGATAGAACTCAACGCACCCGCGGCACAGGTTGTACTCCCCTTTCGGGCAAGACCACCTCACCTTCGGGCCCTCCACCATGCGGGTGCAGTCCTTCGACTCGTGCGAGCACTTCCACCTTGCCAGGGGCGGGAGAATCGAGCTTCTCGAGACGACTGGAAAACAGCCCACATAATACGACTGCAAAACCCAGACTCGGAATGTTCCATGGAGTCGGCATTGGGCTTACAATCGATGACTCTCAGAACGCGTGTTAACGCCAGCGTGTACTTGTCAATCGAAGCCCTTCAACACGACGCCCGCGGTGCAATAAGGGCCGACACAGGCTGCGTACCGGGGGGTCGGAGGTTTAACACACATTGGGCTAAACACGTTCTAAAAATCATCAATACAATCGCTTTGAATTCCGCTCCCAAGCACTCGCGCCAAATCCCAGGGTCTCGTCTACAGGCGTTACGGAATCACTGGCGGAGTCTCCGAGCCCGATACTGGCCTCCGGAGGGCCAGATCCAATTACAATCACTGCCAAATCATGCTCAGAACATGTATGTCCCATCGGTGCACGACCCCCCCAGAATCTCAAAATTCGCACCAGGTCGTACACAGCACTTGGACTAGACGTACTTGGTTGGACAACCCGCAGACCATCATAGCAGCTTTTCGACACTCATCTGGGCGCCCTGGGGGTCCCATGAGAAAACGATACCTTGTTCCATATCCGACCTAGCGCCTTCGGCGCGCCATGCGTGTGCAAATTTGTGTATATATATATATATATATACACACAACACGACTATATAACGTATGATAGATCCCCCAGACAGTAGTCGCATTGAGAGATTCTTCCCTGCGCTTCTAAGGAGCTGGACGGGTGCCCCGAACGGCCGCCGTGCTCCGGTAGGTTGCCGTTCCGTTGCCCCCCCGGGTGCCGCCCGCGAGGGTGCGAGGGTGTCCGCCGGGGGACTCGCCACGTTCCGGCCGGTTGCCGCCCGTTGCAGGCCGAGGGGGGCCGATGGGCCGAGGAGCCGCCACTCTCTGGCAGATCGCCGCCCGTTGCTGCCCGTTGCCGCCTGCGGGGGTGCCCAGATGATTCGCCACGAGCTGGCCCGTGGCCGATCCTTGCCGCCTGCGGGGATGTCCCGAGGATGCACACCTGCCCTTCGGTAAACAGCCGCACAGGCGCCTGGAAGCCTCCCATTCCTCGGCGGGGACGATCCAGCGGTTGGCTGCACATACCTTGCACCATCCACCTTCCACCACATACAGCAGCAGTCACGTCACAGACCTGGCACCACATAGTTTCCAACACACAACTGGCACCACATAGCTTAAACCCACACTAAGGGGAAGAAAAATAAAAGATCTGTTTGGGGTCCACGCTGGCAAACTTTTGAATCCCACCAGCCCTCTGGACGCAGGTGGTCTAGAGCGTTTCCTTTTCCAACCTTTCCCTGCTCGGGAGATTTACCTCCCCCCCCTCCCTGCGTCTGGGCGGGGTCCTCCGCGAGGCGTCAGAGGGCCTTTTTCGGCCCAAGACGGCTCCAAGAGGGCTTCAGAGAGTGCGAGATGGCCTCCAAGATGGCCCACGATAGCGGTAGATGGGTCAAGATGGCCTCCGACACGCATCCAAGAGGCCTCAAGACGGCCCCAAGACGGTGTCAAGTGCCCTCCGAAGCCTCTGAGGACTCCCCCAAGACGCCAAAATCGTTTGGGCCATTGCCGTAGGCGGGACGCCGGGCTCTGGCCTTCGCCGGTTACCCAACATCTGGCTCCGCACACCGGGCTCCACACGTGGGGTTCCACGCACACATTGGGCTCCGCATGCCAGGTCTCCACGCACATGGGCTGCCGCACAGCAGAGGGTCCACGCGCAGCGTTCGCTCCTGGCTCACTGCTCGGGCTCCACAGGGTGCCATCCTTTACTTCCTTCTCTCTTTGTGGTCGCCCCCTGACTTCTTGTTGCCGTCGTCGAACGGCTTCAGGACGAACTCGCACGTCGTCACGGGGATGCCCTGGCGCGCGCCGGCGAGTCGAGATCAGAGGCACGCGCAGCAGTAGACTGTGCGTGGCCGACCTCGGAGTTGGTGAAGACGCAGTCGCCAACGGGCATCGGGCACACCCGTTACTTTTGCAAGCATCTACAGTCGGGGCGTTGACCTAAGGAACCCTAAATAAGGAACGGGGCCCCTTTTTCCCATAAGTTGAACTTCGATTGTCCATGGAAAACCTCAGGAAAACCCGAGGATCACAGCAAAACAACTAAGGAACACGGAGCCCCTCCCGAACGAAAAGGGTTCCTTCTTCAGGGCCCCGACTGTGCCAGACCTTCCACCCCAGCTCTGGCTTCCGCCCGCCTTTGCTGAGCTTCCGCCAGCATCGGCCAGCTTCGGGGGCCACATGCGAACCCTACCCCTACCCCCCCACGATCTCTGAGGGGGAGGGTGGGGTTCCCTTCGCTCAGGAGCTCCCGAACAGGGTGAACTCCACCCCCCCCCTCATGGATCGCGGGGGGTAGGGTTCGCACGTGGCCCCCTGAAGCTGGCAGCAGGGGAAAGGGCCCCGAGGGAAGCGGGTCCCAAACCCCAAGGGTGCTCCCCAGGAGCCACCTCTCAGGCCGAGCCGTCTCCGCGATGGCCCCAAGGCAGCCTGGTAAGCGCCATGCCACCTAGGAGGAGGAGGAAGAGGAGGAGGGGGAGAGAAGGAGGAGTAGGAGGAGGAGGAGGCGGAGGAGGAGGAGGAGGCGAAGGAGGGGGAGGACTATCCCCAGGGGCTCCTCTCGGCCACACGCAGGAGTGGCCCTGGGCATTGAGGGACCTCGGGTGCGCAACTTGCCCCGCTCGCCACACGCGACGCGACATGGTAACGGCCCGCGTGCTTGGGGCTGCCCCCCGCCCGCGCCCCTCAAATAAAGACGCACCAAGGGCCACTCCGGCCAAGGATCACCTTACGTGTAGCCGATCGGCCTTTCGGGCCGTGCTTCAGGTCTCAGGCGGCCGTTCGGGACGGTTCGGGCACCCCTGGAACGCTCTCGGCGAGGCGCGGCTGCTGGAACGAATCTCGAGACAGGAAAAACCTCGACGGACCAACGAAAGCGTCCGAAAACCTCTCCGGTAGCCTTCAGAACACGACCCGTAGCCGACGTTCTCCTCACAGCGAGCCTGCCTTTCTTGGCCCGACGTACCTGAAACTGATGAGATAGGATGAAAAACCCTTGAATAACTTCCAGGTCGGAGTACGCATGCACGGAGCTAGCTGGCTACAGAACGCCCAGCACGGCCCTGGCACGGCCAGTTACAGGAAGTCGAGCAGCACCTCTGTGTGGCGCACAGCTCGCCCTGACAAGAGAAGCACCTGTCTACCTGAGCACTTTCTGTACTTCTTTCGGCCTGGAAGAATTAGGCGACGAAAAGGAAGCCACCGCGAGGACGACACGGGAGGCGGGTGAAACCTGAACTTCTCGGCGAAGGTACCACTTTGCGCAGCGTCCGAGGGAAAGAGGCACCAGGCATTGTAAGTGCAGGGGTGCTGAGGGGCGTGCCAAAGATCTCCAAAAAGGCGTTCACGCTAAAGGGTCGTTGTTCGTGTCTGCTGGAATTGGAAAAGCTTGTTGGGACTTCTGCTGGCGGCCTTGCTAACCCTGTGGGCGGTGCCTTACAGCTGGGGACCTATGATGCCCCAATTGCCGCAATCTTTCTGCCTGGCCGCCTGATGGTAACAGATTCCGGAAACCCTGAACCCAAAAAGCTTGTCATCTCTTGGGAGGTCGACTTTTGCTTCCACCGGCTTCCGCCGAACTTCCGCCTGCTTCCGCTGGCGGAGGCGGCCTCGTTTTACTTCCGCCGACTTTCCGCCGGCTTCCGCCGCGGAAGAGATGACAACGCCTTCGATCCTCGAAGGCAAGGCCCTGTTTGGAACGCCTCAGTTGTCGCGATGTATGGTTTCCGCCTCGGCGTCCTCTGGCGGGTGCTTTCAATGCTCGCAGATGCCCAGCTTGTCGCGAGCTCTGGTGGCCGCCTTTTGGTGCCCCATGGGCGGTGCCACGCTGGTGGCGGTGCCCTATAGAATGCCTGAGAAGATGTCGCGCTTTTTGGCAGCCGCCCTGATGCCCCACGATGCCACTTCTGCTTGCCGTCCTGTAAGACGAAGCCAGAACAAGAGCAAATCGGGTGAGGACAGATCGAGAATCTCTGAAATCCGCCGGCATTGGGAGAGATGTCTCGGGCGCCGCGGCCTTCTCAGGGCGTTCCGGAAGGCTCCGAGAGAGTTCCGGAACGCTCTGAAAGGTTGTGTCCTCGTCCTAGCCCCGTCCGGTCCTGGCGCCCTGTGAGTGGTTACTTGTGGCTGGCGCCCAGTGATGGCAAAATCTGGTGCGACTTCTGTCTGTCGCGCCCTTTGGCTGGTGCCCTATGGTGGCCCAGTCCGTCGCGATGTATTATGCCCGTCTTGGGACCCTCTGGGCGGTGCAGTACGACGGGTGCCCTCTGGTGGCGAATATGTTGTGACTTCTGGTTGCCGCCCTGGTGTCCCACAGGCCGCCCCCTAAGGATAGTGCCGCCTGATGCCCCAATCCGTTGAGAGTTCTTGTGGCCGCTTTCGTGCCCTGCGGTCGATGCCCTCGCCAAATGGCGCCCCACTCTGTTGCGACTTCTGGTGGCCGCCCTGGTGCCCAGTGGGTGGTGCACCATGGCCAGTCTTGCGACGTATGCTTGTCGCCCTGGTGCCCTACAGTTGGCGCCTGATGGCTGATGTCCTATGATGGAGAGAGCGCGTGTCACGGGCGCTTGCGTTGGGAACATTCGGCGGCGCGTTTCGAGCCTGGGCGTGGGCCCCCCCCAACTCTCGGCGCCGTCGATCAGAACCAGGGGGACGCCCCTCCCCCCGAACCCCCCCCCCGCCCGAACCCCCCCCCCGCTCCCAAAGGGGGGGGTCCAAAACCCCCTCCACCCCAGCGCCAGCGCCGGCGCCAGTGCTGGCTGCCGCCAGCAGCGCCGACGGCGGGGACGCAGCGACGACGACCAGAGGGGGCCCAAGGGACTGGGGGGGGGGTCCAACCCCCCCCCCTGGGCGCAGACGCCGGCGCTGGCGCTGGCGGCGGCCAGCAGCGCCGACGGCGGGGACGCAGCGACGATTACCAGAGAGGGCCCAGAGGCCGCAGAGGGAACACACAAATCGCCATATCGAGCCCTCGCCGCCCAGGAGCCACCGAGAGGCCCTTAGGAAGGTCCACGAGGCTTCACACAAGCTCCTCAGACGACCCCGAAACCCTTCTGACGAGACCTCAAACGGCATCCATTAGAACTCTGACCCAAAACCAAAACACGGTGGCGGGAAGAGCCGAAGGCCACACCACCACCACCACCACCACCACAAATCACAACACCACCACCACCACCACAACCACTACAACCCACCACCACAACCACCACCATCACCACAAACCACTACACAACGACCACCAAAAACGCTACCACCACCAGCACAACCACAACCCACCACAACCCACCACAAACACCACCACCACACCATGACCAGCACCATCATCACAGCCACCACCACAACCATCACCACAACCCACCACCACCACCACCACCACCAACCACAAACCACCACACCACCACCGTCACCACAACCACCGCTACCACAACCACCACCCACCACCCACCACCCACCACCACCACAAGCACCACCACCAGCAGCACCACCACCACCATAAACCACCACGCCGCCACCACCACCACCACCACCGCCACCACCAATACCACCACCACCACCTCAACCCACCACCACCACCACCAAACCACCACACAACCACCACCACCACCACAGCCACCACCACTACCAACACCACCACCACAACTCACCACCACCACCACCACAACCACCACCACAACAACCCACCACCACACCACCACCACCAGCACAATCTAGCACACCACCACGCCACCACCGCCACAACCACCACCACCACACCACCACCACACCACCACCACCACCACCACAAACCACCACACCACCACCACCACCACCACCACCAACCACAACCGCCACTACGACCACCAGCACCACCTCCACAAACCACCGCCACCCACCACCGCCACAACCACCACCACAAAACCACCACACCACAACCACCACCACCACACCGCCACCACCACCACCACCACAACAACCCACAACCACCACCACCACCACAAACCACCACACACCACCACCAAACCACCACCACCACCAACAACAACAACAACCACCACAACCACTACCATCACAACATACCACAACCACCACCACCACAAACCACCACCACCACCACAACCACCACCACACCACCACCACACCACCACCAGCCACCACAACCACCACTACCACAAAAAACACCACCACAACCACCACAATCACCACCACCGCCACCACCACCACAACAACTCACCACCACCACCACAACCACCCCACCAGTACTACCACCACGACAAACAATCACACCACCACCGCCACCACACCACCACCACCTTAACCCACCACCACCACCACCACAACTACCATCACCACCACCACCAAAAACCACCGCACCACCACCACCACCGCCACCACCACCACCACCACCACAACCTGCCACCACAACCACCACAACAACCACTTCCGCCACCACCACCACACCACCACCACCACAACCGCCACCACAACCACCGCCACAACCATCACCACCACCACCACCACAGCCCACCACCACCACCGCCTCAGAGGCTTCACATATGCCCTTCAGTGGCCCCCGAGAACCCTCCGGCGAGACCCCAAGAGGCATCCAGTAGGACGCTGCCGCCGCCCGCCGCCACAGGCGCCGGCGCCGGCCCAGAAAAAGAAGTCGTCGCCGCCGCCGCCGCCGCCAGCCGCCGCCGACGCAGGCGCCGGCCCGAGGAAGGGAGAAACGAAAAGCAGGGGAAGGGGGGGGGGTTGCAACCCCTCCCCCCAATCCGTCACAGGAAGGGGCGGGGGGGGGCTCGAACACCCCCCCCTCCATCCAGGGGGGGGGGTCTGGTTCCAACCACCCCCCCCTCCAAGCGACCACAGAACGCTCTCTTTCCTATGATGCCCCAATATGTTGCGATTTCTGGTGGTCGCTCTGGTGCCGCATCGGTGAAGCCCAACGGCTAATGCTCTACAATGCCGCAGCACGCTGCGATTGCTGGTTGTCGCCCTTGTGCGTTGAGGGTGGTGCCCTCGTGATGCTGCTCTGTGAAGCGCTGTCCCGTCTGCTGCTATGTTTGGTTACCGTCCGCATGCTCAGTGGGTCGTGCTGTGGCCCTGCCTGTCGCAATGTCAGATTCCCGTCCCGGCGCCGTGTGGGTGGCGAGCTGTGGCTGGGCCCCTGCGGTTGCCACATATGTTGCGGTCTGTGGTTGCCACCCTTTGGCCGGTGCTCTGTAATGCCCCAGGTCGTCGGTGCCCCATGGTTGTAGCGGCTTCTGGTTGCCGCCCTGGTGCCCCAGTGATGGTTTTATTATATGGCTTGCGGGTCGGAGGTACAAGAACCTACTGATTTGGGGCCGGGGCCCACGCTGTGAATCAGTATTCTGACGAAGAAACTGTAAGCACATGCGGCTGCATTCGCAAGAAGAGCATGCGGAGCCAGCGCGCTGGATGCGCACGCAGAGGGCTGGCGGCCCCATCCACACAAGGACCAGGCACTGAACAGACATGCGGCCACGTGTGGGCCCAGCTCTAGCCCAAGCCGGCCACGTATTATGTATCCCGCTTCATAGTAGGTAGCACCGTTCCATGATACATCCATCGCAAACTGACGTACTGCAGCCACGTCCTCACGCGGGCATGGCCGTCTAGCACTGCTGCCTGCCTGGTAGCTCCTGCCCCTGATCATCATCATCATCATCATCATCATCATCATCATCGTCATCATCATCATCATCATCATTATCATCATCATCATCATCAGCATCATCATCATCATCATCATCATCATCATCCTCATCAGCATCTTCATCATCATCAGCATCATCATCATCATCATCATCATCCTCATCCTCATCCTCATCCTCATCCTCATCCTCATCCTCATCCTCATCTTCATCTTCATCCTCATCATCAGCATCATCATAAGCAGCATCATCAGCAGCAGCATCATCAGCAGTAGCATCATCACCACCACCGCCATCATCATCAGCAGCAGCATCAGCATCTTATCATCATCAGCAGCAGAAGCATCATCGAAACCATCATCAACAACAGCAACAGCAGCTACAACAACAACACCGCCACCACCATCACCATCACCATCACCATCACCATCACCATCACCATGACCATCACCACCACACCAACCATGATCAGCATCATCATCATCATCACCACCACCATCATCATCATCATCATCATCATCATCATCATCAGTAGCAGCATCAGCATCATCATCATCAGCATCATCATCAGCTTCAGTCATTATCAGTATCATCATCATCCGCATCATCATCATCATCATCATCAGCATCATCATCATCATCATCAGCATCATCATCATCATCATCATCATCATCATCAGCCACATCCTCATCCTCATCCTCATCCTCCCCGCCGCATTCCCCCTCTCCTCCTCCTCCTCCTCCTCCTCCTCCTCCTCCTCCTCCTCCTCCTCCTCCTCCTCCTCGTGCTCCTCCTCCTCCTCCTCCGCCTCCTCCTCCTCCTCCTCCTCCTCCTCCTGCTCCCCATCTCCTCCTCCTCCTCCTCCTCCTCCTCCTCCTCCTCCTCCTCCTCCTCCTCCTCCTCTATCCTCTCCTCATCACCATGATCGCAATGTTGCTCTGTCGTCTCGCCGTCGTCCTCTTCCCATCATCATTACCCTCCTTATCATATTATCCTCTCCCTCCTCCTGCACAGCCCAGGCCTCCTCAACGTTGTCCTTCTTGGCGAGCCGGCTCTTCGACGCCGTCGACATCAGGGCCTGCAAGCACGCGGGGCGGACGTCCAGAGCATATCATTGGGTAGGGCATGTCCTCCCACAGGCGGATTTTGGATGAAGACTAAAACGTAGTCAAAAAAATATCCAAACAAATCATCAAAAGTAGCGAAATAAATCGTCATAGACTATTTTTTGACTACTTTTGACTGTTCCTCCTGAAGAGGGGCAGGCCCGACTTGAGCGCATCGAGGCTACGTATGAGACGGTGACATGGTGGGCACCCTCATGATGAGCACCCCTGCGGGACGCTGTTGAGCAAACGCTCGGGACTGTCTGGTGAAAACGCCCGTTGTGGGGGGCGAGGTGGTCTCTCTCCTCCCCGAGGCTCGGGAGACAGCTCCTGGGAGGCCCTCATTGGAACGACTACGGGCTGACCATCCGGATTTTTGATGGGGCCAGCCGGAACCCAGATCTGATCGGGCCGGTCAGATGGAAGCGGACCCTGCCAGGGTGCCCAGGGTTCTGGGGCGGGATGTCCGTGCAGCGTGGCAGCATCTGGACTGCGAGATGCTCCCGCGTCCCCTCGCTGGAAAGCCTGGAGAGCAGCCGTGGCCAGGAACGCACTTGGCCGATCCTGGAGGCCCTGGATCCGAAAAAAAGTTGGCGGCTCGCGTGTAATTATTTCCGCTGCCTTCCGCCGACCTTCCGCCGACCTTCCGCCAGCGGATCACCCGCCACCGTTTTGCGTCTGCCGCCTTCTGACTACCTTCCAGACAACCCCAACCCAACCCGAAGACTCGAACTTCGGGTTGGGGGGGGTACGAGTTCCATACGTATTTTTTCAGTGTTCCCCGACCCCCCCAACTGGAAATGGAGGGCAGATTGAGGCCTTCGGGTTGGGTTGGGGTGGTTTGGTGGGTGGTGACCTTCCGCAAGACTTCCGCCTGCGTCCGCCGAAGGCAAGGCGCGCCGCAGGCGGGGCCCCTTGCGGAACGACGTAACTTTGGCAACACTCGACGCTGGCGCGACGGGGAGCCCCTCTCCCGCAGACTCCACGCAGGCGTGCATGCGACCTGCCAAGCCGCACCACACAAGGACGATGATCGCCGTCGCTGCCGCTTCTTGTCCCGTGCTTCTCGCCAGTACCATTGTGAACGCCATAACCACTGTCGTCAAATTCACATCATAACCACCATCCTCGCGGTCGCCATCCTCGCGGTCGCCATCATCATTATCAGCAGCAGCAGCAGCATCATCATCATCATCATCATCATCATCATCATCAGCATCATCATCATCAACATATTCATCATCACCACCACCATCATCATCAGCATCATCAGCAGCCACATAATCATGATCATCATCCACCTCCTCCTCCTCCTCGTCCTCATCCTCATCCTCCTCCTCTACCGTCATACTCATAAGCGGTGTCATGATCATCATCGTCATCATCAGCATCATCAGCAGCAGGAGCAGCATCATCATGACATCGTCATCGTCACCATAGTCGTCGTCGGCGTCCTCCTCACCCTCCTCATCAACAGCATCAGCAACAGCATCAGAATCATCATCAGCGGCATCATCAACGCCACCATCCACCATGGGGAGCCCGATCAATCACATAATTCCGATGATCGCCGATGTTATCATCATCGTAGTTGTCGCAAACATCATCGCTGGCATCATGACCCGTCCCATCCCCGGCCCCCGTCAAGGTGCCTCGAGTTGCCTGGGGTCCATTGGCCCATCCTGCGTTGTACCGTCCTCTCGGGAGAGAGGCAGGAGAGAGGAGGGCGAGGCAGCAGACCAAATGACCAGGACAATTAGATCGGTGCATGCTCTGTCCAAGCATCCTCATGGCTCAAAGTCTGCGTGTGTGGGTAGTCACAGGCGCCCCAACATGCCACAAGCCAGCACAGGCGCAAGAGAGAACACCCGGCGTGAAATCAGGCCATCGGCTGGCGAACCTCGTATGATAGCTAAAACCATCCTCCTCGTCCGTCCGGCCGTCCCTCCCTCCCTCCCCTCCCTCCCCTCCCCTCCCTCTCCCCTCCCTCCCTCTCCCTCTCCCTCTCCCTCTCCCTCTCCCTCTCCCTCTCTCCCCTCCTCTCCTCCTCCTCCTCCTCTTCCTCCTCCTCCTCCTCCTCCTCCTCCTCCTCCTCCTCCTCCTCCTCCTCCTCCTCCTGCCTCCCCTCCTCCCCCCTCCTCTCCCGACCGCTCCAAAGCATGCCATGCCCTCACCCGGAAATCGCAATAACAGCACGCGGGCCTCCAGGGCACTGTCGGCGGCGCGCCGGGGGGGAGCGGGAGGGGGGCAAAAGGCAGAGGGGGCCCGTCTTCTGACAAGGCCGGCCACCCAATGAGGCAATGCCAAGGGGTGTCACCACAAGGGGGGGCGCCGCTTCCTCGAAGAGGCGTCACTTCCGCTGGGAAGAAGTGGGCCCCACAGAACACCCCGGAGCCTTCTTGCGGGGCCCAGAGGCTTCCACCACCGCCACCTCCCTCACCCCCTGGCTCTCCCAGGAAAGGCGAGAGGAAGACGAGGGTGGGGCAGAGGGAGGACGAATCGACGTGGTGGTGGCGTGCATTCTTGGGGCCCGCACTTCTGAATTGGCCTCGCACGTCCGAAAGCCTCCTCTCAAGCGCTTCGCTCCTGGAACCCCGACGTCCAGGAGGAGCCGGTGAACCCCCCCCGCGGTGACCCCTGACCCCCCCCTGGGCGCTGCCGGGCCTCTGCCCCCCCCCCGGGCGCGCCGCCGACAGCGGCCACCCCGTGAGCAGTCACCTGCAGGCCTCACCCGCGCGCGGAGCCACGACGAAATCTCTACTGACTACCAGTCCTCCTCCCCCAGGGGGAGGTCCCAGGCGGGGGAGCCCTTTTCCTCCTCCTCCTCCTCCTCCTCCTCCTCCTCCTCCTCCTCCTCCTCCTCCTCCTCTTCCTCCTCCTCCTCCTCCTCCTCCTCCTCCTCCTCCTCTTCCTCCTCCTTCTCCTGATTATCTCCGCCTCCTCCTCCTCCGCCTCCTCCTCATCCTTCTCCTCCTCCTCCCTGGTCGTCGTCGATGTCTCTCAGGGTCGGCGGCACCGGCCGTCAGGTCTTCAGTCTATACTGACCACCTACAAGACCACCCCGAGCCAATCCGAAGACCCGAATTTCGGGGTTTCGGGGGGGGGAGTACTAGTGGAACAAAAAGTGCCATAAACAAAAAAACTCGGAGGTCCGCGCGGATTTCTCGGATCGGCGCTGGGGCCCCCCAGCGGCGCCTCCTGCGCCGCCCCTGGCGCGCTCCTTCACGGTGCTGGCCAGTTCGCGGAGTTCACGGTTCCTCTAAAAAGGAGGCCGCTTCTCAGAAGGCGCCGGCCCTACGTCTACAGACAAAGCCCGCCTCGTCTGAGAAGCAGGGGTGCTTATAAGAAGCCTCCCCCTCTCCCCCTACCCCTCTCTGCGCGTGGCTGGGAAACGCGTGAGCGGTGTGCCGAAATGTGCGCGCGGAGGGCAAAGGCAGGGATGGGAGGAGGGGGCAGCAGGATGAGGAGGGAGGCGAGGCGAGTGACGCGGGGCGCCGTCCCTCCGAAGCGAGGACCACACGCTACAGGATGCTCGGGAGACACGACTCGGAGCGAAAAACCGGCCACGGGTGAGGAGGACGAGAGCTCTGGTGGCCCGCGTCGCGAGACAATCGCGCCGCCAGGCCACGAGAAGCTCGATGCTCTCCTCGGCGCGCGGGTGCCGTTTTTGGGGGGGGGAGGAGGGGGGAGGAGGAGAAGGAGGAGGAGGAGGAGGAGGAGGAGGAGGAGGAGGAGGAGGAGGGTTATGGCCACCGACACGGCCGGACTTCCCACGAACAGGGGGCGCCATGGGTAGGAGCGGGACCCTGTGGGCACGCCCCGCGGGCACGCGGGCTTGCTTGCGGGCGGGACCCCACTGCGGGCGGCCAGGCCCCTGCGAACTGGCCCGCCACCGCGCCGCAGGCGCTGAGTGGAGTGGCCTCAGGTCCATTCGAGACGTCTGAGCCAACGTTGCAGGCACTTGTAACCAACCCCAGGGCCGCGCCCAAGAGGTCCCAGCAGGCTCTGTCAGCGACAACAACAACAACAACAACAATCATTTAAGACTGGGGACACTCCGCTCTCACCAGTGCCAGGGTTTTCATAGGAGGCGGGCAATACCCCCACTTTGTGGGGGGGCCGGTTCAAGCTCTACCAAGTTTCCAAACGACTCTTCGCCACCACCCACACCCAGCTTCCCGCCCTATGACGTTCGGACACTTCACTTCGTGGCCTGCGGACGACCTTGGCTACTACACTGGCGCATGGGTACAGTGACTTGTTGTGGTAACATTTTGTGGAAGCTAGCTTAATATACGACTTTTCCCCCTGTTCCAACACTGGACACCTGTACCGTTTTCCGACGTTTTTCCGTTTCTGTACCACACAAGCGAAGACACTTATTTTGAGTGGTACCACGTGCGTGGCGCCAACATACCACAGGACTTGTTTCCGTTGTTGTGAGACGATACAT